CGACCCTCCCACTTTAAGCGTTTGATTTTTATCATGAATATGAGTTTATCATCATTTGCGATATTCTCATAACCTCATAATATCAAAATTAAATTAATGATTTCACAGTAGTAAATGTAACCATGTGTAATTAGTGGATACGTTGTTTTATGACTGATCAGCCTAATAGAGTTATTATGGTACATACATGTACAAGTTGTTGCATTATGAAATAGTTCTGTCACGGAGCGCATGTGATAGTTCTGATTGTATTGTACCATACCCAGTGTTTATTTGTCACATTGATAAGTGACCCATTATTTGTTCTGATTAATCTGTTTATTCTGCTTATTATAACGTGATTCATTCACGTTATTAGTCAATTTGAGATAACAGGTCGCACGCTCGCTGATTGACACAAGGGGTAAAAAGGAAAACCATGCGTGAGAGGAGAATTCACTGACGGTGGGACACGGTGGTAGAAACTGAAAGTCGCTGACTAAAAAGAGCACTTTCATCACTGGAAAGTTGCTGAATTGAAGTTGTGGGTACTTAAACTGTGAGACGGCATCACTCCGAATTGGATCGGACGATTTTCCGTGAGACTACTTATCTGCGAACCCGGAAGTGGCAGTTTTGCTGGACTGGCATTGTTTACATGTGAAGTTCGCATTCGTCCAGAAATCATCTATAAATGACATTGTCGTGAGTACCTCTTAATCACGAAGATTATCGATGAGTAACATTATCATGAATACCTCTTAGTTTTAGTGTGACTATCATCAACGAGTGACGTTACCATGAATGCCTCGTGCTGTGTACGTTGTCAACAAGTGACAGTACCGTGTATTCCTCATATATACACTAGTATATTGTGTTTATCGTCAATGAGTGACATTACTGTGTGAACCTCTTATCGCAAAGAAAGTGAATGAACAATCTACACTCCGTTTAATCTACTTACGAAGATTTCAACGAATGCATGGTCGAGACTTTATTTAAGTTAATATACCCTTCATCAACATTGTGCTCTACAATACGTGAATAAATACAACTCGTCCATATTCGTCAACCCGTGTGTGTATTAATCGACGAAGTAGATCTAGAGGCCGGAGGCTATGCCTGACTTTGTTATGAGTGCGTGACTGTTATGTGTGTGACCCCGCGTGAACGTCGACATTGCTGAATAACGCGTCATGACATTAATACCTTAGCAACGCCGAAGCACAGCCCTGTTGTGTGGACATTGCATATAGTAGTGAACTCTTGTTGTCTATAATTGGTATATTCTGATACTTAGTGAACTCTTGTTTACTGTTGTTCATTATTATTGTGCATTATTGCAAACTAAAGTGTATGTTGGGTTGCCCCATAGTATCATCCTGTACAGGAATTCATTTTCCCCATTTGCATGCAAGGTTGAATAAATGCTGGTGACCTTTGACATATATCATATTAGTCTAGTTCTTGATCAATCATTGTGGTGTGTGACGCTTCATTGCATTAGTTTAGTTATCCAAATATCACATCGGTTGCCCTGTGCTACGTTTCAAAATTAATTTGGGGGCTAGTGTCTTTTGTCAACTTGCTGACCAGAGAACCTACCTTACATAAAAAAGTCGTCCTTGAGATGTATATGTGGTCATCTACTGATTTCATAGCTTATATACATACAATTTTCTTATATATGTAGTATATGATGGGAGATGTCAGCTTGTTCAAATAACCTGACATGCAAATGGACACTGAGATTGAATTAAAAGTGAGAGACCCACAAAGACTCGTTTTTCCTTTCAACTAGTGTTCCATTCTCTGTAGACATCGCATCCACTGTTCCACATACCGGGGTTAGTATCACAACGTAGGTTAAAGGGCGGTGGTCATCACGCAGCACATTTGCGATTTTTCTGTTGATAAATATTGATTTCCCCACAGTTTAATGAGATCTTTTAATGGAAATCATAAATATGATTTATGATCTGGGTGTAATGTGTACTAATTACCATCACTCATTAATACTGTACTGAAATTGGTCAAAACAGGATCACGTGTTATCGGCTAAATTACCATAGTAGCGCCAGGGAAATTACTAGTTCCCTAGAGAGACTAGTCATCAACTTGTGCCCCGGGATGACGTCACTCGTCGCCTGATCGTGTGATTTCCAATATGTCGTCTGCTAGTTTGGTCGCTGATATCGATGGTCCGCCTCGAAAGACTGGAGGATTTAGCTTCAGTTCAGAAGAAGAACTTGAAACACTGCCGGTAGTAGAAAATAAAGATGCACCGAAGACGAAGGACACAATCAGGTTTTCTAGAAGGGTCTTTACATCGGTTTGTGAAGAAATCGGGATACCGCTAGCAGACGTCGAGCAAAAATAAATCATGGACTATAAATCACAAAAAGATCAAGGTGACCATTTTGCTCTGAAGTCGATTAAGTAAATGTACCAGTCCACAAAATCTGGGAGTCAAGGAGGGCCATCCAACTACATATCCTCAAACGACGAGGAAAGCAGATAAGCTACTGCAGCTTAATGTGTACTCACCTAACAGTTGAAAATGCCCTCTCGTATTGGTACATACAAAGTGGTATAGTATTACGAATCACCAATGGACGTAGCTGCTCCCTGTGTATCATTTGCTTCACTTTCATCAATGTACATATCTGGCTGGCAGCCCTAGTTAGATTCAAGTAAACAATTTTAACAGTCATAAATAACTCTGTGACGTTTTTGGGACTACTTTTTTGTACGTGTCAGAATAAATATTTTTATAATGATGTTATACATGTATGTCACCTGATCACCTGAGTGTATTGATATGTAAAAAGTAGTGCTGTTGGTGTAACTGAAAATGGCGGGAGTCAACACATCACAAATCCTTTGGGTGCCAAAGTTAACTTTTGCCACCTTTCACCAAATTTCCAATTTTTTTTTATCATGCCATATCATCTACTCAGTCCAAAATTAACAAAGAAACAAGTCATTGTCAATGACACGTCCCTGTTCCGTTCATATTTGAGTGACATACACATTCAAAGCAGATCATGACCGAAATGCACCTGTATATGTACAACACATTGTACTAAATCTGAACAAAATCCATCCATGCATGACTGAGATCCGGTTCCGAAATGGTTATAATGTGCGATTTTAATGCATTTTCGGCCTTAAAGCGGCCACCATTTGGCTATCGTTAATGAGATCATGAAACAAATGCAAATACATATTTGTGACATGATGTACCTTGTGTGTGTGAAGTTTGAACTCGATCAATCCAGGCATGTCTCAGATACGGATCCAGAACTGAATTCTTTAAAACAAAATGGCCGCCAGTTGGCCATTTCAAACCCGATCCAAAAAAAAAATGACGTGCATCAAGGTCCTATTATGTTTAATGTATGTACCAAATTTGAACAAAATCCGTCCATGCATAACTGAGATCCGGGTCCGGAATGGTGAAAAAATGCGATTTTGATGCATTTTCGGCCTTAAAATGGCCGCTATTCGGCTATCGTTAATCGGATCATGAAAAAAATGCATGTGCATATGTCCCATATAATGTGTGATGTATGAGTGAAGTTTGAACTTAATCGGTCCATGCATGTTCGAGATACAGGTGATCACGGATGCACGGACGCACACAGGGCAAAACATAAGTCCCTGTTTTTGGACTACGTCCGAACGGGGACTAATTAGTACATAAAAATGTGCAAAATATTGCACAAGATTTTGGCGGGGAAAAAATTCTACCATTCACAAGTTTGAAAGCATTTTCGATAGCTTTTCCCAAAATAATGATCAAGAAGTTATAGAAAAATACTAAACATTTTAGTGAAAAAAACAGTGTTTAAAATCAAACGGAAAAGATATTTGTCTAAATTTATTTCAGGTTCAAATTATTAATTTTGTTTAATTTAACCTATAGAGGCAGCTCAACAATCACTAGAGGGCGCTGTATGTATAATAAACTATTCAGACAGGCAGACTGTTACTTACCTTGCTACTTGGTTCGTTGTTGGCTGCCAATAAGCATGATCTAAACAATAATAATTACTATTGATGGCAATAGGTGATCTATTTATAAGATAAATGTACTTCTCCCTGAAAGTATAAATAAAAAAAAAAGATTATATTTTCTGGGCGGAGCTACATCACATAACGTTCTACGTTGCTAAGACGCGCACCACAGTACCATATGTTCCTATGGGCTCTGCACAAGCTGCTGTGGAACGCCGGTGAAAACAGCCAAAGTCGAGGACACAGCACAAACTCAACTTTGAAGTAATTTTGAGCAACCAAATTTATACATGTTGCACATGTTCAAGAGAATCTCAACAATTATCCCAAAGTACCATTTTCTGAGAGTTTTCGGCTTTTGTTTTCGCCATGATGGTTGACAGGCAATGAAAATGCCTGAATGCCCGCCTCCAAGAATACTAGTATTTGCACATTAATCTGAAAACTAAATCTGTACTTTTGTGAGGATTCTGATATTTACATTATGAACTGGTTGGTACGGCTCGAAATTAATTTTGTTTGTAAGTCTACTAGGCTACCAGTTTCAAGAGTTGGTAGTCCTGAGTAAACAGATTTACAGCAATTCCAGGCACTGATTTGACGCTGCAGTAGTGCAAGATGTTGATAACTTACTACAATAGGTTACACACTTTGTTTTCAAATTTACAGA